ACTCTTTCCAGAAGTAAAATTAATGTGATATTACAAGAGTTGGATTACATTATACAAGTTTTTATAGTCTAATATCCAAACATGCTAAAATTACTCCTGCATGTTCCATTTCTTAGGAATGGAGCTTCTGTTACTATAAGGCACCATATAAACCTAGTGTTTTATGATGTGTTCTATTAATACACACACTGTAATTCTAACACGGAATTGTTACGACTTTTATTCAATTCCATAATGAGTTTCAGGAAAAGTACCACAGTCTGACTTCTGATGGTAGTGAAATCTGTGGTATTGGTTTCAGCAGAACATATTTACTCCAGAATTATGGCAATGACATGGACATCAGAATCACTACTCCTGTTTATAATATATGAATTATTCAACCAAGATTCAACAGTTAAGGACCAAAGTGCAAATGCATGTATCTTCCTACTGAAGAGCCAATTTTCTTACTGGGAAGTTAAGGAGACATTTTAAAGTTACATTTGCCCTAGGACACCAGATTTGTAAAAAAGTAAAATAAAATCTGAAATTGATGACTCGACAGAAAAGAGATATGACATCCTACAGAAATACTTTTTTACCAACTAAACTATAGCAATTTTTATTTGCAAAGCTATACAGGAATTAAATCAAGATAAAACATATGGCTGGGTATGGAAATTGATGCTGAATTTGAAGTGGAAATTGTGGGTTTTTTTAATGTGCAGCTTGACTAGAATGCAAAAAGTCCAAAATATACAGATAGAGAAGTAAATTGAAATTTCAAAATCTTTCTAGGAGTTGTTTAATGTGTACTAATGAACACTGTTTGATTATTATTTTGTTGGGTTTTTTTTAATAGGCAAATACATTTAAATAAACTGGTATTGATCATGTTTAGAAATTACTCACTGATCCATCTGCTGGATTTATAGTGTCATATGTTTTTCCATCATCAGCATTTATAAACTGGCCATTTATGAAGCACTGGTATGGCATATTCACAGTCATGTTGTTCACATTTTTTGAAACCTAAGAGTGAAATAAACAATAAATCAAACTTTTAATAACCAAAATTTTAATGCCTCTGAGCAAGCTTTTGATATCTACAGCAAACATCCACCCACATTTTACAGTATAGACACGATTGTTAGGAGTGGACAAAAAAGCAAAGCAAAACAGAAATCATATTCTCCCTGAACACTAATGACCATATTCAGAGACAGTGAAGCAGATTTCTGTATTTTTGTCATTGGATCTCTATCTTCAAAGCAATACTAAACCCTGATTAAGGCTGGTCCTAATGGACTTCAATCAAATGCATAATTCCCAAATTCAAGACATCCCAACTTGGTTAATGACTTAAAAACATGCAACCTTCCTTTGACACAGTTTTTGAACAGAGTCTTAGGAGAAAAATCTACCACTGTTTGCCGCAGGAAAGCAGAAGCATACTGGCAGACCAGTGTGCGACTCTACTGTGTGTCCCTGATTTCCTGGCTTCTGGAACACCATAAGTGACATTAAATATATACTTCCATTTCAAAATGCAAATAAATAAACATTGAAAAAAAACCCAACAACAAAAACTACAAAGAAAAAGTTGTATGTCCAAATATTTGTTTGCTTCTCCTACTGAGTCAAGCAGTCTAGTAATCTATCCTCCCCCCAAAACCAAGAAAGACTAAGAAATAAAACCAAAATAAAAGGTCTTACATAATCAATTACTAACTCTTCTTCTTTGTCTTCTCCTCTGAATTTTCTGACAGCCATTTGAATGAAGTCTGCAAACTTAGTGGCCATATACACATCCTCATTCTGTAGTTGAAGTCCACTATATTTCTGTTTGATCTCTTCCAGCATTCTGAAGATTTTGAAGAAAGAATAAGTTTAATTACAAATGGAAGAATTCTTCAGAAAATGGAACAATTAGAAGGTTGAAAGGAATCAAAACTGGGCACCAGTTTGTATGCACGTGAGTATGTGTGCACGTTTCTCTGACGACAATGGCACCAAAGTTGTGCATTTTACTGAAATCTGCTGGTTTAATTGGAGGTGTTATGGAAAAGAAAAAGTCAACTCTAGAATACTCTTGGGTAAACTTCTGGAAATAAATAATAAAGAGAATGTAATAATTGATAAAATAGTATATGGGACTACTCCAACCAGTCCATGGAGGACATTCATAGCTCTTTGAGACTGGTAAGTAATAAGGAAAATAAACAGCTTGTTTAAAAAAACAAACAACTGAAATCCTGTTTCTATATTATGGCCTGGAATATGTGAGTTGTGAAAAGAAGGTAGCTGAGGTGACCCAACACAGGATGAACTCAGTGGACTTGTAAGCATGGGCTCCTCTTTCCTTCTGGGGTGTTCTTTGCTCAGCTTCTTAATCAGCCACTTGGTCTTGAGATATCTGCGCTGCAGGCAGACAGGTTTGAGCATCACCATGCTCACCCATGTGACTGATTTCCCTGAAGTTAAGGGGAATTTTGCTTGAATAGAAAGAGCAGGATTACATTAATAATTTCTAAAACTGGGAGCAGTAACCTACCACATATTCAAAGGCAGGAAAGGGCATAGAGCATTGGAAAATACAGAAGATTTTTTTAAATACTACTCAATCAAGCCTGATATAGAAGCACAATGACAGCTTCTGTTAGTTTTTGAGGAAAAATTTCCTTACTTGAAATATTTTAAAATATTTTTTAATATACTTAAATATTTTTTACCTGACGACATGCATAGAGGATGCTCCGGATTTGAAGAAGTCTGTCGAATCCTCAATTACAGCAACATTGCTCAAAATTCCCTTCCAAATAGCCTAAAAATACATAAAAACAATGGAGGCGATAATGAATAATCCTCTAATTTCAAGAAGTATTTACCAAACAGTATTTCCTATGGTATCTGTGCCTGCACTGTGTGTTATTTAAATGATTCTAAAACAGAAAGGTATTTTAAGAGGATCTAGAACTTCCTTGAGCCATCATGCTAGCCAACTAAATCTTCAGCATAATTAGGTTATAAAAAAGTATTATTTTGTACATCATAATTTCACCTAGTAAGGCAAGCAACCTGAATGGTACAATGCTAATAATTGCCAGGCCCATTTCTTGAAGGTTTTATCCTCCAAGTAATAACTTTCCTTTGCAATACGGGAAGCCAGCAAAGGCAAGGACAGCCTGGAGCAATTTCTGACTTGATTGTTGGCATTTCTAGCACCTGAGCAGAGCTGAGAAGCAGTTTAAGCTACATGCATAAGATGGAGATTTCCACTAACATGAACACTGAAATAACTGTTCATGTGATACTTCAATTAACTATAATTTGGTTTCAGAGCTAACAGGCAGTGCCACAGATTGCAGAGTTTATATTTCTTTTTACTATTGTCAATAGCTGCAGGCAGCATTTAGGTTGCTGGCAAGCAGATTCAAGGTAATCCTGAGCAGCAGTTTAAAATGTTGGTTCATCAGGCTCCCTGACCTGTGCCAAAGGTTACTGACCCTAGACCAGAGTTAGCAGAAGTGAAGACATCTACAATTCAGTTGTTCTGGCACAAAACTTTAATGACAAATGTGGCTTCCAGATGAGCCCCTGGGAAGGACTACAGAGGGATGCATTACATGAGAGGGCAGCAAGATGTATCTCTGGCTATAAGAGCTTTCTGCTCCAGCTGCCCCGTTGCTGCATCCCTCTGCCAGCCAGCCCCTTGTGTGTGGTTGTGGCAGAAGAGAGACTGTGCAAACAGATACAGGGAGAAAAACTTCTGCTTTTCTCTTTCAGACTGCTGTTCTAGGACTCTCTGGAGCTTCTCCACTCAGACCACCCTGAACACATCCTAGTGAGTAACACCACAATGAAGAAAGCATCTCAGTGTTGAAAACCTGAGTGTTGTGAAGTGAAGGTCCATTTGGTTTTTTTCTCACTCCAACCCTAGTAATTCATAAATTGTCTTTGTATCATTTGTGTCTTAAAAGTTTTCTGGAGTTATGTGTGAGTACTTTAGTGAATTCCCAGTCCCACTTGATTTAATTTCAATAACTAACTATAATAAAGCTATACTAAAACTATAACGATAATAACTAAAGATTCAACCTTTTTATAAAAAATCCATTTGCATGTTTAAATAAAAGATATGCCTTGCCTATAATAAGAAGTATGTCATACTTTTGTCTGAAGTAATATCCTACTAAAGCAGTTTATTGAATTACCCTAATATCTTCTGCCATCTTTTTCTCCTCTTCTGTAAGTTCCAGGGTAGTTGTTTCATCAGCAGAGAAGTATTTAGATGCAGGAATCATTTTTCCATCCTCAAATTGCAGGCTTCTCACTAGTACCTGAAAAATAACATGATATGATTTTAAATAATCTGGGAGGCAATAGATCTTTATGTGAAGAGTTTGTAGGCATCAATATAGTTATCAAAATAGTCATATAGAATCATAGAATCTTAGGGGCTGGAAGGGACCTCGAGAGATCATCTAGTCCAACCCCCCTGCCAGAGCAGGGTCACCTAGAGTACATCACACAGGAACTCATCCAGGTGGGTTAATAAACCCATATAAATATAAATAAACATATAAACATATATAAACATATAAATGGCTTGCAGGAAAGCTGAACATGGACTGAATGTGAAGCAAAACATGAATGTCTTTTCTAAAAGATGGCATAGGATTGATAAACCTCAAGCTAATTAGCTCTCTGCCTTTAGCAGCTGGATTTGTACAACTTGGCAGTCCCACACTACTTCCACATTCTGCTAAAATTCTTCCATCCATTGTGTTTGCTGGGGTGAGCACTTACCATCTTCCCATCATTACCAAAAATGACTAGACCATTCTTGGTTACAAGTCCAGGTCTTGAAGCACCTTTTATTGCCAGTTCTTGTCCAGCAGGCACTGAAGCATCAAGTAACGATGATCCATAAAAAGTAACCGCCTGAAAATAAACAGAATTAAAAGTGCACAGGTTCTAAACATGCTTTAAAATCCTAATAATGAAATTATAGTGTTTGAAGCTTTAATATAATATAAATAAAATTTAAGCACCTACACATGGAAAACATGTTACAACGTTGTATCTGTATCTTTACAACCCAGGACACGTAAAACTTTGCAAGTTGCCTAAACCTGCAAAGCTGCTTAGCTGTAAAAATGTGTGTGCCAGAACCAGTGAGAAGAACCACCAGAAGTCTCAGTGTGGCTGGTGGAATCCTGCTCTGCTCCCAGCTGGCAGTGCTGAATGAGCACTGCCTTGCTCCTAGGCTCTTCTGTTCTTTCTGGGATCTTAAATCAGCAACAGTTTCTGGATATGAGGGCAAAACAAGACTTTTGGAGCAGTCTGCCAGCTGATGGCTAATAGTTAGGTAACAAAACCTGGCCATCACAAGCAGGAAAGATAATGTGATTTAAAAAATATTTTATGCAAGTACTATGTGGATCAAAAGTATAGTACTTTCAATCCATTGAAAGAAAGTAATTGGCTTTGGATAAAATGAGATATATTCATTTCTGCAAATGATCTAGGTCCAAATCTCTGTAAAATAACTTCCTCTGTTATTTCAATATTTCACAGTGTTTTCTTTTACTGTTAATACTGTCATGTTGCCCACTACATGACATGGGTCACACACTGTAATGCATGCCAGCTTCCCAAAATGACTGGTACAGCCTGGCTTTGCCATTCTTAATTATTGCTTTGTATCGTGCCCATTTTTTTTCCAGATATTGCTCTTGTCTTTCTTTGAATTAAATGGACCTATCATTAAAAAAAATAAAAATCTTAACTACTGTGCTCTGTACATTTGTTTAAATGCCTTATATATAAAAAACATACAGTCAACAAATGAGAGCTACTTCAAAGTAACTTTCACTTGTATTCACTTGCATGCAGACATCACTAGATTTGTAATTTAAGAAGTTCAAAAAGAGGGTACAGAAAATAAGAAAATTCTTCTGTTTTTCTGAGCATACCTGGCCATCTATTGTTGCCCATGCTCCAGGCACTTTATCATGCCCTCGAATCCAATTGTGCAAAGCTGTTGCAGGTTGGTCCCAGGAGATCTAGGAAATCAAGATATGCCAGCTAATTATTCCCTGTTTCAGTTATAAATCAAGTTAGTAATGTTTTCCTATATAAGAATTACAATTTCTCCCTTCTTCTCTTTCAACTGTTCACTTATTAAAGAACACAGAAAAGTTCTGGCCTAATAAAGGAAGATCAGTGATCTCCAGATGGCTGATTATCAATGACCTACCAAGTGGGATGCTCTTAGCATTTCTGTGTTCTGTACAGCCTATATTTTTAAAATAAATTTTCCTCCTCACACTAATGTAATTAAAATATAACCCTTGCTACTAGGTATTATTTAATAAATATTTAATATTATTATTAACAAATGTAATAAGCAGAGTATAAGTATCAATAGGTATGGCTGGGGTATCACCTTCTGCTGAATATTAGCTACTTGGATCCTTAGTTCTTTAATAAATATATGAACTTTTATTAAAATACTTCCTAGTCATTTACTAATCCTTATAAACAGTAGTTTCATAAATGGAATCTCTACTGCAACTTGCATTTCCTGCAAAACTTTGAGGAAAAAGGAAATCATGCTTTTTTCATAATCTTATATTTAATATGTAACACCAGTGAAAATGTATTACTTTACCTTTGCAGTATTGTGAGTATACGTATAAAAATAATTAAATAAAATATCAAAACTCAGGTACTCAGCATCCTTCTTAGTTTAAGCTCAAAGAATATTTAGAAGTAAATTATAAGCCAATGAGAATAGTTTTACAACCAGGAGATAAAGCTAGTTCACTCCAAGGAAGCTCATTCTATATTGTATTATATTACATTATATTATGTTATACTATATGGATGAATAAAAATATCCCTATGCAAAGCTGTTTGTTTCTAAGGTAAGTCAGGAATTGAAATATGATAAAAAGCTACACCTACAATATATCAGGCAGAAAGGACTACATTTGCCATGGACAAATGACTGAAATTGTTGGAATAATTTTTATTTTTTATTTTTTATTTTCAAACTTCTGCACAGGTCTAGAAAAGGAAAAGAAGATATTACAGGCAGCATTCACTATAATTTTATAGTGGCCTTCCTAACCATAAAGCAGATCCAGCTAATGCAGTGAGGGTGTTAATAGAACATAATTCTTATGTTGGTGTTGACTGGTTTACATGACCTATATTTTTTTCTTCCTGGTGCCAATAGGAAAAGTGCCAACTCTTGCTTTTCCTAACATCAAATCTGCTTCTGGTAGAGAATTTAATATGGACTGTTGGCAAACAGAGAGAGCTATCTCCATTCAATGCTGTATTTAAAAGTATGGTAATGGATTAAGAATCCATTGATGGTGCAGCTGCCATCTAGCTGTGTGTAGATGATCCCAAGTAGGACATGAAGTTTCTAAATATATGTAACTGCTGAAAGGGAATAGGAACCTAACCTCAGGCTCCATTACATGCATCTTTGGAATTATTCCAAGAAGAGGTGGGGAAACAGCTGAGTTAAAATTCATGTTAGCTTGATATCACTACTATTGTAATCTGAGCTAATAACTTTTCTAGTGATATATACAATACACTCTTATTTTAACACTACCTCTGCGTTTTCCTTTTTCTGGATCCCTTCATATGTTGCCCCCTCTTCGGGCTGAGGTATACGAGGGGCCTTACCATCAGCAATTAGATGCACAGCTTCCACCTATGCAAAAAAGTAATAGATTTAATGTTAGCTTTGTTCATCTTTTTTCCTCAGTCACACGCGTGAAAGACAGAAAAATACTGCCACAGGGGAACTGGTTTATATTTAAAACCAAGGATTCCCAAAATGCTGGCCTGATTAACATATATATATGCTAAAACTGCTTTGACAAAAGAAATGGCCTCAGAAGTTGGATGCCTGTACCCAGACAACAAACATATAGCAGCTGCTTAAATTCTCCAGGACCGGAATGTGGCTCTATATGTTTGTATTCAAATCTTTCCTTTTTCTTTCTGCAGTAAATTATTTCTCTGCTTTTAAATGAGAGAGAAAAAATATCTCTAACAATCCACACTGAGTATTTTAAAGGCATTTTCTTTTTCTTCATTTTAAAACAAAACAAAATAGGGCAAGCACACAATATCCAAAGCATATCCACCAGGGCTCTGAACATAAAACACCATCCCCCTTGTTTTTTCAGTCTCACCCCTAACATTCTCTTTTCTCTGAGCCTGTAAAAATTTCACTTTTTAAATACATTAAATAAATCTGTGGAAAGAACTACATTCCAGACAAGTCAGACTTCTTGCCTTCTGTGGAAACAGGATATGCTCTGTCTGCTGCAAGCAATAAATACTCTGAAGCCATCTCCTGAGCTGTTGTGAAGCAGCACAACTTCACTGAAGTCCAGGATTTGGCTGAGCACCACAACCTCTGTCTTTTCAAATGAATGCATCTTGTCTATATTTCCTTTACTTGCAAACTCCAGCAGATGCTTTCCTCTTCCTCTTAAAATGTGGATATTTAGTTCAGCTAAACATACCATGGCCTTTACTCCTTCTGGGAAGAGAAACCGGTTATAGAGATCATCCACAGTATCATTTTGGCCAACATCACACTCTCGCTGCAGAAGTATTGGTCCAGTGTCCAAACCATCATCAGCCCAAAAAATAGTAAATCCTGCTTTCTTATCTCCTTGAATTAAAGTCCTAGACATAAATAAATAAATAAATAAATAAGCCTTACAGTAAATACAGAGTATGAGAGTAGTCAGGGACACCAACCCATCTGTTATACATTCATTTGTGACAGGTAGAGAGAAAACCCTAACCAATTTTAGTACTAGTTTCATTGCTCATTTCATAGTCAGAAACCCATTTTTGATACTGTTGATGTGTGTTTTCCACAAAATGACATAAAAAATGCTGCAACTGAATCCTCGGTGTCGATCAAACAATTTATTTTTATGATGTTTTTTTAAGTATTATTAGAGGTAAGACACAAAGAGCAAAAGGTGTGCAATAGTTACAATGTAATTTGAAAGATGGAAGCACCTAGACAGCATATTATCTGAATAATTCATAGTTTATTGTCATGAGCTAAGCCTCACAACAGAACTGTAGGTCAGCAAGGAAAGTACAGCTGTCCAACAGCTGAAAAAAAGCTAAGCTAAGAGTGGATAATGATGGATATACAACTGTCTAAAGAAAAGTCATTAAAGGGTTTAATATCCAGCTAGATTCTCAGCTGCTGTGAATGAACAGATCTATGCCAATTTACATCAGCTCAGGATCTGCCTCTGAATCTGAAGGGAACTCCATCCACCTAGACTTCCAGTTCTCCTTTGGAGCTGCCTGTGCCTCAGAATTATATGTAACCAAACAGATGCGTGTTTAAAGGAGAAGCCAAATACGGATAGAGACATAACTTTCCTACAGGCTTTTAACCATTTATCTGCATGCAAACACCAATGCCATTCTCTGTAAGACACATCTCATGTAAGTATTCCCTTGGCAGTCCACCTTGCCACAGGATCATCTGAGAGATGGCTAATACACATGAAAAATCACTATTACTTGTAAGCATGGAAATCTATGTTATCAAAAGGAGTAAAGCACACCTTTGTACAGCATGGGGGACAAACTCTAAAGACAGCTGAAGAAGTTGGCAGGTTGACAGAAATGAAAGATGGCAGAAGTTTGGCTAGCCTGTATCAGATCATTCACACACTTAGGAAGCATCTATTCTATTTTATACTACGTACAAATGCTGAAAGAGCACCCTGGCACCTCCTCTGTGTGGCTGGAGGAGAAGGCACCATGGCAAAGGTCCCTGATGCTGAATAGGCTGATGAGAACTACGTGTGCCCCCTCCTATGGACACCAGTTTCCTCTGCAGGCAGCTGCTGGTAACAGTGTCAGCAGCTGGAAGAGGCTGTAAAGAATGGAGTGAGGAACCCTTAGAGGCCCAGGACCTTTGTTTCTACCTCATCCCCCTTTAGGCATACCAATTCCCACAGACTTTCTTGGTCATGCTGTGGGGAGAAACGATCTGATCAGCACCAGCGCTGTAGCTACAACAGACAAAAGAAGTTGTGATAAGAGCAAGGGGTGTGAGGGTGAAACACAAGAAAAGTCAGCCAAGGCCAAACCAAGGCCACATTCTAGGTGAGTTTAGAGGTCTTAGGAAAACAGCCTTTACCTGAGAAGGGCAGAAGTGGTGCTTAAAGAAGGAACATGCAAAATGCTCAGAGACTCGGACACTTCTTGAGAACTTGTATCTACATCTTTTGGTGGAATAGACCTCCATCAAATTTTCCTCCATGAAAACATCCTTCTAGAGCTCTCTAGACAGGCAGTTCCACAGTTTCATAACATATTGTTATGAAACAGTTTCATAAAGTATCTCCTTTTTTAGTAAAATCCTACTAAAATCTAACTTTTGATCAAGAATGAGCAATCGTTCCTTAATGACCTTCTCTTATCTTTCATGGCTTAATACACTGATGGTATATGTCCTTCCCAGTGGTGTTTTTTCCATTCTGAAGACCCTAGATTTCTCTCCCATCATGTGGAAGCTCTTCAATACCTTTGACCATCTTTCTTAGCCTTTTCTGAATAATTTCTAGCTCCTTTGTGTTCTAACTGAAACGCAGATGCTATTTAAAGTCCTTTCATGGTATCTTCCATGAGCAACAACTGGCTTAAATTTTATTGCTGATTACATGTAGTTACTTTTCCTCTTTTGTACATCACCTTGTATTTTTTAAATTTGAATCTGACCACTAATTTTCTTAATCACTTTCACATTATCATATTTACCCGTTTGTGTAGGAACTGTATTCTTTATCATAGATTGAAACCAGAGTGACTGGTTTATATTTATGTGAGTAAATTATATGAATGTACAGATCACATCATTAATCTTCCCAGAATAACAGCTGCACTTGCATTGCAAATTACAATGAATCTTAGGTATGAAACACAGGTCGTGAACCAAATACTCAGCTGTTTCAGGGAAGTTTCTTCAGAGCAGTTGCAAGTCAACAGAACTGTGTCAGTATTTACAGGAGTGATAGGTAGGGCCTAACATCCTATCATGACATAGACATAGTTCTGATGAACAAAACTCACCAGTTGATTGCAGAAGCTCCTCGGTGGCGTGGTAGGATGGATGGATGGTAAATAATTGAACCATGTTTTGGGCAGTCAATAACATCCATGGGGATGAACTGGGTACAGAACGGAAGGACATTTAGCTCTGCTCCAACCGATTTGTAGGCTGCAACTACTTCCTGGATAGGCTTGCCTTTAGCTCTCCATCTGGGGAACTTAAACACAGGAGTGCCGTCCTTCTCTGCTGCCAGTGCTGAGGGGCAAGAACAAATTTATTTCTTAATTCACATTTGGTATTAAAAACACAAACTTAAAATCGGAGAGATACTGCATGACAACTTAAGCAGATCATCCAGTGTAGGATTATAGTGCCCTTTGTACTGTTCCATATGTTATTTAAAAACCTTTGTGCCCGGATATATTTTATTAATTCTGTCTTTGATTCTCATTCCTACAGCTTAGGTAATGCTCAACTTGAAGTTCACTCTTATGACTTGGCTAAGAAGCACCAGTGAAAGCAGAAAAGAATGCTGAATGCTATTGACTGCTTAACAGTGACAGTTCATTTCTTGTCTAGTCATAACATTTGCCTGCAACAGATTTGTTTTAGCAGAACTCAATTTTTTACTTCAGTAATTTGTATTACAAGGGCATGTAGCGACAGGATGAGGGGCAATGGTTTTAAACAGGAAGAGGGTAGATTTAGGTTAGACATTAGGAAGAAATTCTTCACTATGAGGGTGGTGAGGCAGTGGAATAGGTAGCCCAGGGAGGCTGTGGATGCCTCTTCCCTGGAACTGTTCAAGGCCAGGTTGTATGGGGTTTTAAGCAACCTGATCTAGTGGGAGGTGTCCTTGCCTATGCAGGGGGGTTGGAACTAGATGGTCTTTAAGGTCCCTCTGAACCCAAACCATTCTATGATTCCATGATTCTATGAATACACATAACAAAGATTCACTCAAGCCAGCAGCATTTTGCCATGTGGTGCAAATAATTACAGATGCTGGAGGCCTTCAGTAATTTCTTCAAAATTCTGTTTACTGATTCCTTCTGGATATGCTTCCATTTATCTGTGAGACACACAGCTACACAAAAAAATTAGGCTCAAAGGTGAGAAAAAACAACTGCATTAGCTGCAGTGGAATTTGTAGGTGTTTGATAAATGCTACTCCACAATTGCTTAATAACTCATCACAGAGAGTAGGATGGCAGAGTCAAACTCTACAGCTGTTAAGTTGTATGTGTAATAGGAAGAAAAGGGAAAACAAGAAGAGGTATGGAAAATTCACTTAATTTAATTTATATTTCTAAACACATTTTCCAAACACATACAGAAAGAGTACTTTCTGTTCTCTTTTTCACTTCTGGAGTTGGATCTTGAGTTTGACCTGAAGTTTCTTTAGCCTATTAACCTACGTTTTAAGTAAATACTTACTTAAGTATCATTCCATGGACATGAGCATGTACTGCAATTGCTCCTAGAAATAAAAACTGTAGCTGTCTGAGGATATAGAAACATCAGCAAAATTCACTTGACACGTTTTTTGAGTCATCTGGAAGTAAAGGCAACAAAGTATCTAGTAATTTATTTTTTTCCTTCATTAGAAGAGCAAGACATTAATTCTATGGTTTAGTTAGAATAAATATATTCTTGAAATCAGTGGAAGATTTGCTTAGTTACACCTTCTAGTGTAATAACAGTTGAATTGTCTTTTTCCAAACAAATAACTTGCCTCCAATTCTTTCAAAGTGTGATTAAAACTTTTAATGAGGTAGAGTTACAGAATATAATACACTTGAGAACTAAAATGCTGGTTTAGGAGTGCCACAGCCCAGGAAAGCAAACTTTTTGTTTGATTCTGATTGTAAGAGTTCTGTAAAAACATGTCAGGGCCTATTTAAGATAGCTCATGGAATGTACTGTTAATTTGATTATGCATAAAGGTATATTCCATTCTGGTACTTCTGTTTCGTAATCATATTAATGCACTAGTTTTATGCCACTAAGAAAAAAAAAAAAAAAAAAAAAAAAAAAGTTACAAATCAGATTATTCCAGAGGAGCTTCTTTGTCACATTAATTTCTGTGGTGTGAGTACAATTCTGAACACCTGTCAAGCAACAACTCTTTCTTTAGAAAGTCCCAAAAATCTGTAAGCATCCTGGCAATAGAAAAAGGAATAGCAAAGCCTCCTCTAGCCTTTTCAAAGGGTTTTCCATAGTCCAAGTGGAAGAGAAATAGGCTCTGCAGGTACACTGCTGCATGCAAGCTTGCCAGAAAGGGCAGAAAGCCAGGGATAAACTGTCTTGGCCTCATGCCTTGAGTATCCCAGACAGCCCAGTGAAACTAGTGACAGACATTTGTGCTTAAGTACAGGCTCAGTAGCTATTTGCTTCAAGATACAGATCTAGTTCAGGACGACTACTTCCAGCATGTACATTCAAATAAGGTTCCCAGACTAATTTATTTTTTAAAATATCATAATGTATTGCCCTGTATAGTTAGAAACTACTTTCAAATACTGTTGACTAGTAAGGTCAAACCAGTTCTGGGACTCGTGTTTGTTAAAGTATAATTCTTGTGCTGAATCCAGTCTAATAAAGGCAGCATATGCAAGTCATTCCCATATGGATATGATCTCCTCATGAAAACCCAAGTTTGTTACGTATGCCTGTAATTTTTACATTTGGATAAAGGTCACACTTACCCAAAGGATCAGCTTGTCCATTCTTGTCAGGCACTGTGAACACTCCCACAACTTTATGGCCCTCTTTCCTCAGCTTGTTATAAACTTCTTGTCCAAAAATGCTTTGACCTATGAGGGCTAGCTTTAGCTTATGTTGGTAAGTCTGGTAAAAAGAATTAAAACAATCCATGTTCTAGGATGCAAAGAAAATATGTTGTTGTTGCTTACGTTTCTCTCTTGCTCTTTCTTGATCAATGTTACTTTTGATTTAAAACTGAGAAGTCTTTCTACCTCAATCTACCCTACCTTTGAAGGAATAATAATCAATTTTTTGAGATGAAAGACAGGCAATGTACAATTCAGAGAGAATACACTTAATGAACAAGTATCACCTGATACTGTCACTGATGTTTATATTGGTTTCTCAGTATTTTCATTAGATAGGACTCACTGCTTGTTACAAGAGGCATACTGGGCTGCATGATCTTATTTGTAGTCAGAACTAATATCATAAGAATTTAAAATGGGTTTTTTAAAACATATATAACACACTTTTTCCAGGCATAACTTAGGTGCCTTGCTCCCTAAATCCCTGTAATTATATGGTGGTGCATTACTTGTGATTAATATATAGGTTAAAGAAGACAAGCTTACATTGTTCTGGTTAAGTTAAAGGTAATAATGATCCATTTGATCCTTCTACAAGGAAGTCCTGCAAGCTTCCTTTGTTTGCCTTCCACTGCCTTCTACATTTGCTTCCCAGTATACTGGACACGTGCTTTTATGCTTCTTCAGACTGAGTAGGTGCCAATAACTGCCCCAACTTCTTCTTTTTAGGATAGTTAGTATCACAACGCTACTATGATATCAGGATATCACATATTGCTACGTTATTCAAGTGCTTGCACCCTGAGAAAACTACTAAATCCTCCAGAGGCCATTTAGATGTAGGGGACAGTTGTGCTCGACTCCCACCCTGCCTCCAGTCCCTCACCTCCAACACCTCCTTTATCCCAGAACTGGTATTCCATAGCTGCAAGAATTGGATTAGGATGCTTGGATAGGGGGGCACTGCCCTGATGAAGTGCAGCTTATTTTAACTGGATCTATTAACTCATCTAGTTCATTGCACTGCCACAAGTCATAACACAGGTCCAGCAGAAGAGCAAGAATGAGCCTGCAGGCACTGGCAGAAGGGTGGAACCATCCCTTATAAAGGGATGCCTTTGCATTTTCCATTAGCTTCTGGAAACCTTCTAAAAACAAATGGACAAGCAGACCTAGCTCTGAAGGAAAGGTCCAGACAAGATAAGCAGAAAACATATCTTCCCCAAAGCTGAATCTAATATAAATTATTCCTAGGCCATTAAGGAGCCCTTCTCTTAGGAGGACCGAAAGAAAAGTAGAAAATAAATTTACATACTCCCCACCTTTATTCTTCCTCTTTCCCAACAGAACTTTTGTTTTTTTAAATAACCCATTAGATGCCATAAGCTCAGAAATCTAAAGAGGAATCAAAGCACTGCTTGAGTATCTTAACCAGTGGCATTTGTTCTGTATGTTGGCACTTGCACATTTTCCCCTCCCTTCTGTTTCCTCTTTCTTACAGTGGCTGGGCCATGAGGATACCTTGATGAAGTGGACTGATTGGATAGCAAATGGTCTGGACTGCCCATCAGATCATATGACATATTCTGTGACAAACAGGAATGTCCTGAAGAGCAGGTTACTGAAAACCACAATCTGTCTCATTGCAATTCATATCACAGCTGAAATATTACGGATGTATTTTGCTGTTTTCAAGTTTGATTTTGGTTGTGCAGCTGGCCTTAGAAAAGGGAGTTAAGAACTGGTAGGTTTCATTACAGGAATATTGAAGTGTGCTTTTTATTTTCCATATAAAACAATAGGAATTACCTATTTGTCCAGAGACAATATGTTCCCTCAGAATGAAACCATGGAGTAAAACTGTCTCTGTATTACAGCACTAGCTTGCACTACTGCAACTGCGGTAGTAGCAAGGAGTAAGAGGCAAAAGTGGACATTACTCAGGCTCCTGCAAAATCAGGTTGTTATAGTAGGCTGGCAAAAAAAATCTGTGAGACTGGCAATGATAAATATTCCGAACCATTGCCGCACTGCAGGCAGTAATGCCTAAAATATGTCCACTATTTTGTTCTTAATAAAGAAAATACCTTGATCTGAATTTCAATGAGCACAACTTCTCCTTGCAACACTTATCTAGCAATGAATGCAGGTCAATATCATTACCAATGCTTTATGACTGATATCTTTGCTTTTACAGCAGAAATGTTGCTGTGTTATAAAAAGTATTCAACAGGTTTTCCTAACTATTTTAACTATAGTAGGCAAGCTGGAAAATTATTAACCTGCTGGATCACTGAGCATGTTTGGCATGATATGAAATCCTCTGATTTCTATACGGTGCTAATTTACATTGGCAGCCCAACTAGTACATTGAAGAAACACTAAACATAGTCCAGACAGGAGTTACTTATTCTACTTTTGTTCTCTGAGTAAAAACACAAGACTGGAAGGGATCACCTTAGCTAACAAATCCAGTCCTCTGCCATCACAAGCAATCATCTAATTTGATTCCTTTTATAAATTTATCTGACCCTCATTTAAAAATACTTCAAAAATACTGCTGTGCTCTGTTGCTTGTCTGATAATTTGGCCAATCTTGTAATTTTCAGTCCAAATTTATCACCACTTTAAGAGCTATTTTTTTCTTCACTTATTGACAAAGCGTTAATAACATACGCATCCTCTGTTCCTGAACTTAACTTGTAGTTTCTGTTTCCCTGTGAATAAATCTGATTTTCATATTACATGGAACTGCATACTAGTTCAAGTTCCAAATCATGAGCTGCTGTAAAACAACATACTTTCAGTAAAGCAACAAATGCTTAATTTTTGCTAGTTGTGGAAATGAGTCAACAAATGGTGAGAAACAAACAGGGAACACAGTTCCCAAAGGAAAACAAACAAACAAACAAACAAAACCCACTGGCAAAATTGAGAAGATTGAAGACTAGCTGTCCCACTTCTTCATTGTAGTGAACAAAAAGATCAATTTGGCAGCAAAATAGCTCTGCTGTCTCACACTTATAGAAAAGTTACTCAAATGGAGACTGATTTCAACTGCAAGATGGATTTGGCAATTGTGCTATGAGCAGTGATTCTTGAGTTACTTCCCCAATGCATGGTACATGTGTATTGCATTATTTCATTAAACATCTGGCTTAGACATGGCAATTTGCTTGTGGCACGTTAACACATACACTGTCACCAGGAGAAAGCAGGAGCCAAAGCCACAAGTCAGCCATGCACAGGATTTCTACTGAGTTAAAAAAGTTTAAAAAGAGAAGAAAAGAAATCCCACAAAAAAGTTTAAAAAGAGAAGAAAAGAAATCCCACATGTAGAAGGGCTTGCATGATCAGACCACAGATTCAAACCTTCAGTTTTCTGTCTTATTTGAAAAATGACAGCTGAGTAACTGCACGGGATCTTATAGCCACTGTCACTTCTTTTCAAAATTCTCCTCAAGCTTTTTTACATACAATGAGTTAGACCTGCAAAAGTAGGAAAACCTTTTAGAAGAATTTAATGTGAACATAACACCCAGTTAAGACTGCAAGTTCTGTAAGATTACACAAGATTGAAAAACAGTTTGGTGTTTTCTTTCATGTAGAAATGGCACATTCTGGCCAGCATACCATCACTAACATTCATCAAGAAGCTCTAAAAAGGAAGCTCATAAAAGAAAAGTACAACAAGCTTGTTGAATAATGTGTTTGATGGATACTGGATCATTGTCACTAAGAGATATAAAGATTAAACTTTTTATTGTTTCTGTCAGTGATGTTAAGAGGCTATATTAGGTTTCTTTTGCAGTTGCCTGACTGACTACAGATGCACAACATTCATTAACAGGTGCATGGGAAGGTCAATGGTGATGTAGTATCCGAGTGGATTTTTTGCTGTGCTTTTGTAAGATTAGCCAGTACCTAGTTATGGTGCAGCTCAGGTGGCTTAGAGAGATCTGGCCTTTCTCTTATGTCTTTAGTAAGCAAAGAATAGTGTAGTTATAACAGTGATACCAAGAGACAGGAATTTAGAACTTGGTGCTTACTGTACTGTAATTCTGTTGTTTTCATTGTCTGAACTTCTAATTTCTTCTTTAACTTTCTCTTTTGCTTATATTATAACACAGATTAATATTAATTCTGTCTCTCTGACTCAAGTGCTCCCAATTTGGATGAAGAAAACAATATCAAGGTAAGGAGCATAAAACCTGAGAAATACTTGTACGAGAAGTCTTGTCTTGAATGCTCAACTTGTCTGGAAGTATTTTTTTTTCAATGCCCCAATACGAAGGACAGATTTAAGTTTAACTTTCCTATTTAAAATTTCTGGCTATTTTGTCTGTTGATACAGTACTGGAATTTATTTTACAATGACTCATTTTAAAATATACAATATTTTAATGTTTGCTTCTAGTCTGGCTCTTTTTTTCTCACAAAACACTGAGCAAAAAATAAAACTAATACATAGAATTAAGCACTGCTTAGAGAAGCAACCTGACAAATGCTGGTAGCTATCTTGCTAAGTTATAGCTCCTAAAATTGGAAGCCAAGTCCAAGAGCTACATTTCCTTCTCTCAGAAGAGTCTAATGTTACAAAACTTACCCATAGGAGAATATTTATTTCATAGATAAAAATAATTTTCTGTTACTGCCTCCTTTGGATGTGTATCTAACATTCAACTGGTTATCAGTTTCTCATCAAATTTCCTGAAGGTGAAAATTCAGTAACTGCTACTCTGGTTATGAAACTTCCTTTCAAAAAGACATTATTTTATTTATTCTGTATCAGAACTTAGTGAACCTAGTAAATATTTTAATAGGTTACCTTTTTAAAAAAGAAACGTAGAATTATACCTCCTTTGAAAAGCAGCACTGCAGCTTTATTTCTGTTGAGGATCCCCCTGCATGTGCTAAACCCCAGTGCCTCCAAATAGAAACCTGTCGTGGAGCCTCCACTCCCATCTACAAATCTCCGGGCAACACGTTCTCATTAGCCATTCATTCACATTTTTTGGCACTGCTGGTTCCATTTCTAAAAAGCTTGCACTAAATCTCTGTATAACCCCTCCCATCTAGCTA